CAGGATGGAGCAGAGCAGAGGTGTGGAGTGGGGAATGCACAGAGGGAGAAGGAATCAAGCATGTCTGGCCTGTCAGTCTGTCTGCCCACAGCCACAGGCTGCTTCTTTCAGAGGGACCCACGCTGGACAGGTGAAGCCTTTCGACCGGCTCAATCATCGTATTTATTCTAATTGTATCGTAATCGTCCCCAAGGAGGCTGGTTCAAATGAGCTTGACATTATTAAAATTTTAATGCCCAGTTTTCATAGCTGAATGAATATTTAAAGGGTATGTCCCAGCTTAAGTTATGATGATGAAGAAATTAATGGAATGTCTTGTTTAATGCATGGATATGTGTTGATGCAAAAAATAGTAGATGGATAGGGAGGGGGGAATGGCAGCAGAGGCAGAGTAGAAGGGCTGGGGAGCAAAGAAAGGGCTTTGGGGAACGAACATGTCCCAAAGTCCTGGGGCAGGGTCATTTGCTTCCCTGAGAGGGATCCTGGTTGAGAGGAGAACACAATTCACAAGTGGTGTTCCCAGATGGCTGATACTAGGAGCCTCCAAAGAGACCTTAGGAGGCTGTTCCTGACCCACAGAAGGCAGCCTGGCTGGACAAATACCCCTTGGGGCTCTGGAGTCAGGCCCCAGACAGGAGGCCACAGGGCCTCCATGGAGACACTGATGACTTGCATTGTGGAGAGACAGCAACAAAGCCACAACCCAGTCAGCCAGACTCCTGCCAGCACAACCCAGGGCCACCTAGAGGGATACCACACAGCTAGCAGGAATAGCTGGACCAGAAGCAGGAGACGGGGGACACAGGCACTAGAGCAGTACAAGGTGTCAAGGCCCAGGACTTGAGGGGCAAAGACACAAGAAGGGCAGAGAGGTGGCAGTCGCTCCCTTGGGGCTTTCTTTTTCCTTCCAGGCTCTTCTCTGGCTCCTCCACCTCCTCTGACCACTCTGTGCCCTGTCTCACTCTCGCGGGCCAGGCATTCCCTTGTTTTCCCCCTCATCCTCGGCCCAAACCATGCTCTTTCCTGTCCTCTCCCCCAAGCTCTGCAGCCCCAGCTCGTCTTCCCAGACCAGCTTACTCTGCTCTGCCTCCCTCTTCAAGGCAGAACCAAGGCTTGTATCCAGACAGGGGTGGGGACAGAAGCAGGTGGTCCCTCTTCAGGTCCCAGCCCACTATAAGAGTCAGATCCAGCTGAGCTTTTTTGCTGGAACCTGACAATTTGATTCTGCTGAGAATTAAGAAATCAAGAGACTGTGTTTTATCTCATCGTCTAGCGTGGCACCTGTCTGACAAGCTCTGCAAAGCCCTGGACACTGACCACCCTCCCAATTATACTGGGACACGAAAAACTGCCCAGGAGACAGGAGACATGAATCCAGTGGGAGCAGTCAGTTCTACACCACTAAAGCACCCTTGGGTGCCCAACCCAGGGCTGAGGGCAGGTGGGAAACTGGCTGAGACACTAGACTCCTGTTGGGGAACCACAATGAAGTAGAGAGAAGCTGAGGGCTCCACGGAGAGGTCTACGGGTGAGGCATGGACAAGGTCTGGGGTGCACTGTGCAGAGCTGACACAAGCAGGCGAAGCACCCAGAGAAGGCCACCCCAGGCTTAAATCAGGAACATGAGGCTGAGCATCATAACCACCAAGAACCAAGGACAGGAGATGGTGGAACAGCTACCTGAGGGTGAGGTGCTCACCAGGGCGGAAGGCTCCATGCACAGAGATTTCATTGCCCCATTTGATTTACCATAAAAAATGGGACTCATCATAACAGAAAGAGCTTTAGCCCAGCCCCTGAATCTGTAGGCCTTACCCTAGCTGCTCCCAGGCCCATCCAGAGAAGACTGGCATGGAACTCAGAAATGCGAGTCTCCTCTCAGTGGTCTGCACTTCCTCCCGATAGCACCCTTAAAGCTGAAGGATCTGCCGGCCTGGAATGGGGCCCTGTGCATAGCTTTGCTCCCTGCCTGGACTGCTCATAGCCTGCCCCATCTCAGCCGCACCCTCCTCCTCATCTTTGCTGAGTACGCCCCCTTTAGACACCCTGCTCCCCACCCTCTGGCCTCTGCCATAAACTTTCCTAGACCATCCCAAAGCTCTGTCTTGCCAGCTCCCAGAATCTTCTGAACACACAGGCAAGCGGCAAGCAGCAAGCGGCCTGGATTCATCCTGATATCACCACTTACCACCTGTGTGACTTCAGGCAGGTTTCCTAACCTCTCCAAAGCTCTGTTCCATTGACTGAAGTTAGAGACTTTCTCCACTCACATGCTAGGAGGACTTATAATCTAGCCACATAGCGTGTAGAGCACTTGTTCATGCTCTCAATAGTGCTGTGGACCCTTGGGGAGGAAGCCTGAGCAGCCTTTGCTCCTCACCTCCTCCAAGTCGGCCCCCAGCCTTGAGTGTGCCTTCTGCATGGAAAATGGGAGGACCCTATGGAGTCTCCCCCATGCTAGAAAGTGGGCCAGACTTCTAGACTAAAGGGTTCATTTGATTTGCTGGGGCTGTCGCAGTGAGAAGACTGGTACCCACCAGATCTGAAGATAGGAAGTCCAAGGGTCAGTGGCTAGGAGGGCTTTATGGTTTGAAGAGGGCCACCTTCTTGTGCCCGCACATGGCCTTTTCTCTGTGTGCTTAGGTCCCTCATGCCTTTTTCTTTTTCTTAAAGACAGCAGTCTGTAGAATTAAAGTCCTGCACCTATGACTTCATTTAACCATAGTTACCTCCTTAAAGTTCCTGTTTCCAGATATAGTCACACTGGGAGTCACAGCTTTACCATATGGGTTGGGGGGAGGGGTGCAATTCAGTCTGTAACAGGGATCCTATAGACTATCCTCAAAAAATGAATAGTACATCAAGAGGAGGAGGCTGAGGGCAGGCGAGAGCTTACAGGCCCGGGAAATGGACCTGGGTCAGGAAGGAAGGTGTGCAGACTGGGGTGGCTGTGATATAGGAGTGGGGCCAGACTCCAGGCTGAAGAGCTTGTGTTCAATTTGATGGCTCAAAACCCTGGTCCTAAGCTGCCATTTCCAAATGTTCTCCACTTTCCTGCTTCTGGGTCCCCTCCTCCCAGAGAGGTTGGGGTCACTGATAGAACATACAGAAAGGCCAGTGACTATGACATTGTTAGGGCTCACCAGCCTCTCCTGGCTGAATTCTGGTCAGCTTTCCTCACCAGCAAGATGGTAATAACTATCCCTACTTCTGACAACCCAGAACTTACATAAGCTCTAAGCCTGTTAGAAATACATGCACAGATCCACTGGCTGGAGCTGGGTTCAGACCAAACCCAAGAACCTTTCTGGAGTAGAACATTGCAGGTCCAAGGGAAGATGAGAAGGAAAGACAAGCCCAAGGGAAGGGGCAGCCTGGGAAAGGGTAAGATGATGAATTCCAAAAGGCAAATCAGGAATGGCCTGGAGCCCTTTCCCCACACCCAGGTGCCTAGCTGGCCTTCTCAGCCCTTCCCTCAAGCTCCGAAAAGGCAGTGTTTTGTGAGAAAACCAAAAATATCATTACACGCCTCCTTCGTCTTGGGGTCAAGTGTGCTGTAGATGATTTCTCCTGCTGCCAGGGCTCACAGTCCAGGCATCTCTCTTTGTTTCCCTCAATTCTATCAGGGGTGTCAGATGAGGACCTGGAAGCAAACAGTGACACCCTGGCCCGTCTCAGTGGACTAGCCCTGGAGGCCTGCTCTGCCAGCTCTGGTCCCCTCAGCCTCCATCCACATCTGCTCCACATCCCGCCTCCTGCCTCTGTCCTTCCTAGTGAGGCTCTGTCCTTCTTCTGCCCTCAGCTTCACCTTGCTGAGTCACGGGCATCCTCACTTCACCCCTAGTTGTCTGGATCCTGCCAAAACTCACTCTGAATCCTAGACCGGAAGGCAGGAGGCTTGTGACTGGCTGGCCCAGCCCCTGTACAAGACAGAACTGGCAACGAAATCTCAAAGCACCCGACTGCAGCTTCTGGCCTCATCCTAACACAAGGTGGGCCAGAAGGGGAAAGCTCACTACCTCTGCGAGTGACTTCTCTGTATGGGGGTATGTGTACCGCCCTTCCTGCCTCTCAGGGCCTCGTGTTTATGACACAAATGCAAATGAAGTAAGACATCCGGGAGGAGCATGGCAGCGGTACTGTCAAAAACATAAGGCACGATGCGTGGGCATGATTTCTATCATTTTTATTGTCTGAAATACGGTGGGAACTCAAAGCTGGAAAGCCCACCCTGGTGCTTAGAGGCGAGAGTTGAAAACGGCAGCTACGAAGCCAGGATGCTTGGAGTTCAGAGACCCCTAGTGGCCGGAATGGCGCATTGACATGGATCCCAAGAGAGGCCTATGGCCCATAAACTTAGGGAGTGGGTCTTAAAGTGCTTCCTTGGCAAACAGACACTATAGGACGCAAGTGGCTAGGTCTAGTCCACCTACACCCTAAAGGGACAGTACTGGCTGCAATCGGGAGCCCAGTCCTGACCTTTGCTCATGCTGAGGAGCTGGAAGCTCCAGAACTTCAGCTACTTCCATCCCACGTGCAATGTCTGCAGTGTCCAAGCTCCAAGCCATGCACTGGGCAGGGCAGGGGTCCATCTATTTACAGACTGGCTTGTTTTGGCAATTCCAGCTCTCTCAAGGGGCCAGGGCTCCGCCAGGAAGTGAGCCTTGGGTACAGGAGGACTTCATGGATGTAAAGGGAAGGAGTGTGCATTCTATCAGCTTCAGATCGTGCCATGACAATCTAACTAGAGCTGCTCAGAGTGGAAGAGGGAGCCCCAGAGTGTCTCTGATGAAGAGCAATCCTCTGAAATAAGGGGGTCATGGGACTGTGCCACGGCAGGGGAGACCGGCAGGGCTTTGGGAGGATGCCCTGCAACAGCATGCGGGGGGGGGGGGCATCTCTAGGCAGGGTCTGTGCTGGAGCACCCGGGCACTGTGAATACAGGGCGTCTGCCCCTCTTCCCAGCCCTCTGTAACCCCAGCCCCTGTGCTTTGTTACAGATGAACCGGCCGATCCAGGTGAAGCCCGCGGACAGCGAGAGTCGAGGAGGTAGTAGCTGCCTGCGCCAGCCCCCTTCACGTGAGGGCCCACTTGTCTCTGCCCCTCCCTCCTCTCTTCCCTGCCCACCTTGTCCCGGTGCAGCGACTCCCTGGCTCCTCCTCCTGGGGGACCTCAGGGCTGGGGTTGGTGTCAGCTTTGGAGCTCCGGGTGACTGGTATGGAAAGACATTGAGGAGCTGGGATACTAAGGAAAGTAATAGTCCTGGGGCTTTTCCTCCGAGATACTCCAAAAGGTGTATCTGCCCGGTGCTGAGAAAGTAAACCCAGTTGTGATGGGATCTGAGTGAAGGGATGCCTGTCCATGAGGTAGGCGACGGCTGCAACCCTGCCCTAAGATGATTCAGGCTAGAACGGGTGTATTTGAGGGGCTGTGGTGGGTGTGTGACATGCTGGCGTGGGGATAAGGACTGGGCAAGTAGATGCGGGTACAAGCAGGCAGACAGATACCTTGAAGGAGACGGAGGGAAAGCACATGGGCTCACTCACAAATGCTTGCCCTAGAACGTGGAACCTGCCAGAGCCTGACACGAGGGGCTGAGCCCCTTGCTGGACGGCAGGCTAAGGAACTGCTTCACACCAAAGCTCAGCCTGGAAGGGCAGGGCAGGTAACAGCTTGAGACAGCTTCGTCCCCAGTGACAGCCTCTCTTGAGTTGCATCTCAGCTCTAAGGATAAACTGGCCCCATTCTAGGCACAGACTTGTCCCTAGGATTCCCCAGACAGGATCCAAACATGCTGTAAGTTTAAGTGAAAATGAAGGGAGTGGAGAAAGTACAGTAATGCCTCGGTTTATCAGTGCTTCTGCTTGCAAACAATTCAGTTCTCAAATGAAAGAATTCAGCAAAACGTTGCTTGCGTTTGCAAACTCTGCATTGGGTGACAAATACATCCATGGCTACCTTCCCTACACAAACTCAAATGCATCTGTCTTCTCCAAAATCATAAAACAAATTAAGTTTGTGAACTGATGTATCACTGTACCTTTGGCAACAAGTTAGGCCTTCACCACCCAGCACTGTCTGCTCCCACAGCAAACTCTCCCACCCCTCATGATGCTAAGACCAACTTGAGTCATCTGAGGGACAGAAGGAGCCACATCAGCCCCAAAGAGAGGAAGCACAATTTCCTAGATCTCCCTTCCTGGCCCACTTTCTTGGGGAGAAGGGTGTCGTCCTTCCTACTTCCCATCTTGTTGACCATGACACCCTTGCCATCTCCTGATGGGCCTCATATCGACTGGCCCTGCCCAGCCTCAGCCCTGAACTCTGATTTCAGCCACTTCTCTGGGCAAGTGACCAAAGGTCCCTGCCAGGCCAAGGACTCCAAAGGGACTACTGTGTCCTGTCCATCTGTGAGGGCCCCTAGCTCAAAGACACACAGAAATTTAACCAGGTGGAAGGCTGAGCAGCAATGTCAGAAGGACACCCAACAGGAGAAGAAGAAGGGCCTCCTACCAGAAAGCCCCAGATAGGAGTAGCCCAGGGAGGGCTTAGAAAATCCAGGAGAACATTCCAGGAGGCCACTGAGTGAAGCGTAAGAAGTTGAGGCCTCTCCTGTCTTGAGAAGGTGACATCAGGTGCAGCTACTAACATGCTCCTGAGCCTACCTCTGCCCTAAGCAGGACTGCTGGGGCAGAAAGCCTAGGTAGCTTCCCAGGAACTCCTGGCATTTTCTGCCAAGTGCTTCACCCACCTCAGCTCTGACCCAGGTGACCATGTTTGCCCCTTCCCAAGCCCAGCGTCCTCTACCACTTGGCTCTCCCTGCCCAGTAACTTAGCCACACACTGAGGAATTCCTCTTTTTTTTTCTTCTTCTTCTTTTTTTAAACTCTCCTTCCCCCAAGAAATTTACCAGGAAATTAAGGGCAAAAAGCAAACCACACTAAAGCTATTCACAAATTTGGAGAGCCAGTTCGCCTAGAAGGAACTATAGTGTGACAACAGGTGGGCTGCATGTGCCCTGGCACCTGTGGTCCCTCCAAGAGCACTCCCTCACTCCCCCAGCTCTAGCCACTACCCTTGAGGACCCCAGCAGCACCTGACTGGGCACAAGGCCTCTATGATTTGTCCCTTCCTGAGCCTCTGGGTGCACGCACCAGCCCTGGGCTGGTATCTTGGTGCTTCCTGAAGAAGCCCTGTGCCTAGGAGCACAGACGCATCTCCCCAGGGCCTGCTGAGCATGGCCATTCTTGAGGACATTGTCAGTCAAGGTCCAGTTCATTCGGGGGCAAAAATGGCTCAGGTGTGAGATATCAGAGTGAGCAAAGCCCACTTGGCTCATGCTACCTGTCCCTGCCCTTTCCCCAGCAGTGACAGGAGCAGTGTTCTTGCCTGGCCTCACCCAGGACGCTAGAGACCCAGGGGCCTTTTTTGCAGACCATCTCCAGGAAAGGGCCAGGGTCATCCAGGCCGGCAGTGACTCACCTGTGCCAGCACTGTGTTCAGGTAGCATGGCTAGAAGGCCAGGAGGCAAAGGGAAAGCCCCCAGTGAAGGCTTGGACAGCAGATGCCACCAGGAGTCCCAGAGTGAAGTCATGGAGGGAAGGACAGCCAGGGGCCTCAGAGGAGGCAACGCTTGAGGAGGTGGCACTTCTGGCCATGAAGGAGGAGAGGAGCCACATGTGCAAAAGAAACAGTGATGCCATAAACCAAGCCCACAGTTCTGGAGGAGGGAGAGGGGCCTTGGCAGGGAACAGGAAGGGAGCAGACTGGTCCCAGACCGAGGTAGTCAGAACCTCAGGAGCTGTCCAAGTCCCTCAGCCCTGCAGCCTCTCGGAGCTCTGCCTCCATCCCTTTCCTCCCTCGCTTGCCTGGGAGGCAATCGCTCTCTGACTCCAAGTTGCTAACCTCATCTCCTTTCTCCCATATATCTCCTGCTGCTGACACTTGCCCCAAGCCAGATTAATCAGCTCTTTTATTCTTCCTGCGGTAGAAAAGGGGGAAAGAGAGCCAAACCCAAACATCTATCTATTAATTGCATATTCAATATTAAACAGTGAGATGGTCCTGAGTCAGCATTATCACCAAGTTTTTTTTTTTTTTTTTTTTTTTTAAGAAAGTTGGTTTAAAATAATTTAATATCCATTAAATCTTCTGGGGGAAAGGGAGAAGACAGAGAGAGGAATGTGAAAACTGATTAAAGAAATGGGGAACGGGGCTAGGGATTTAGCTCAGCGGCATAAGTGCCTGCCTTGCAAGCGTGTGGTCTTGAGTTCGATCCCTGGTACCAGTAAAAATCCAAACAACAAAACAAAAAAAAAAGAAATGGGGAACAAGAGAAAGGTGTGGAACAGAATGGGTGGGATGAGAAAGAAAGTGATTCAAAGCAGGCAGGAGAGGAAGAGAGGAAAGAAAGGAGTGAGAGAAGTAGAGAGGTAAGGAGAGGAGCTAGAAGGAGGGAAAGAGAGGCTTTGAAGAAGCAGGCTAGAGACTGCAGGGGCTAGAAATAAAATAGCCCGAGAAGGAGCAGACAGAGGGCCCAAGCCATGTACACCAGTTGGTTCTGTCCTTATCTGAGCTTCAAGAATTCCCAGGCTTTAGGACAGGGGACATGGGACTTGTGTGCCCCTAGAATAGTGTTGGTAAACTTATGGCACTTGTGCTGAAGTAGGCAATTTGTTGTCATTGAAAGCTCCAAAAAGTTCACTACCAATGCCCTAGAAACCCACCACTGCCTACCCCTACTTAGGAAACCGACAGGTGCAGTGAGTGGGCTCAGGTCAGGAGGAAGGCACCTCCCTGCCTCCCCTCACAGAGGAGGCTGCTACCCCCACATGGGCATATCCTAAGCCCAGCCTCTCATTCTACTTCTAGTGCTTTAGAAGTGTCCTCTGATCACATCAGTCCACACACATGAGAGGGTGTCCTGAGTATGGGTGTAGACAGAATGTCCACTGGAGACCTGTGGGTATAAGAACAGCCTTTAATTCCCAGGGCTGCATGAATTACAAGCTGAGGCTGACAGGCCACTGTGACGCAGGGATGTCAGGGGCTTAGCTCTTCTAAAAAGCAAAGTGTGAGGTTAAATCCAGCAGGACTTCAGGGTAACGGGTCCAATTTGGGGGCAGTTCAAGGTTCATGCTGGTTAAAGGCAGGAACAGCTTTAGGAAGCCCCCGTAGAGGGAACCCAGGGGAGACTGAAAGCCATCTTCCAAGGCATGCCACCACCCCTCCCTACAGGCCTGAAATGGAAACTTCATGTGCACACAGACACACTATGGCAGACTCTGGCCACTTTCTTAGGGACATTGTCAAATGAAGTCACCAGTCAACAAATGAGACAGGTGAGGTCCAAGCTAGAACAGCTTGCTAAGTGTTCCTGATGAGGCACCAGGAACCAGGGGAAGGAGGCAGAAGCCTGAACCTAAGGGAACCTAGAAAAACCCTTGATGAGCCCATGGAAGGGCACAGGTGAAAGAAGGCAGGACACTGATCTTACCATAGTGATAGGCTGCTCCCACAAGAGGGTCTCAAGAGAGCCTAGGGTAGGAAAGAGCTCAGTAGGGGCAGCTCTGAGCTCCAGCTGTGAAGCAAGCCCTGGAGAGGCAGTCATAGTAAGCCACAATTGGCAGACCTCCAGGGAATCTTCTAGAAGGCAAAGAAGCCTCTTTTATACCCTCCTACCCTTCCCAAGTCCTGTAGAAGTGCCTGGGGCTGAACAACACTGAAGGTTCCACTTGCTCCCAGGGCTTCCATTTTTAGACATGGAAGCCCACGTTTCTCCTCTTTGACTGTGCCTGTCTCTCTCCCTCCAATCTCCATGTCCCTACCTCTCTTAGTCTTTTCTGATGGGACTTGAGCAGGACGAGGAGAGAGTGGAGGTTGGGGCAGGTGTGACAGCCTGTGAGTTACTGTGTTTCCACTTGGACCCTCAAGGCAGGTACTGGCTAAGTCATTTAGCTGAGTTCTTGCAGCCTTTTGCTGCCCCTCGTATATTTAACAGCATCTTCAGGGCGTCCTTCCTCTCACCACAGCGGCACTGGTGTGGCAGTGGATTCCCGCTGGGCTGGCTAATGAGGTTG